GCTCCTTTCGCACAACCGGTAATAATGTTGCTCTCTATCAGATAGCTCATCAGACGCTGGACAGTCAACCTAGTACCATTGCATGGCCGTGGTGCGTCCACATTTCTCGCGAGCATAATCGGCGTGCCAACTTTCAGAATCAGCTTATGAGAAGGGGCGCCGGGTATTTCCAAACTGTTCAGGATTTCAATGGGATAATTAACGCAATCTGCAGGATTTGTTCAGTTTTTCCACACCTGGCAGAAGGTGAGTTAGTCTCTCGTTAATTGCATTGACGAATTTGTTTGTGGGGGCCAAAATTCCGCGTTCGCAGAGCCACTCAACGTCGGAGAAATTGGTGTGGAGGTGAGGGAACATTTTTTCTCTTAGGTCTTTGCCACTGCTCACGAAATTAACAACAACAGCACGGGGGATGCGTCCAGTTACATCGGTTTCGATTTTACCTTCATCAATCTTCAAGATATTAGTGGAGAACTCGCCGGACTCATGGTCAGCATTGCGGTGCACTCTCATGTTGGTTGTGAGTTCCATTAGCTTTACCATAGACCATAACGGTGAATATTTCAGGCAGGACTTTACCTGATATCCTCTGGTACCCCTTTGAATCACAGGTAGAGTCTGACGAAAATAGCCAGATAAATTCATTGTGATGCCACCAAACGGAACGGTCTTTTCTTTGATATCACGCAGAGTGTTGTCCAGCGCTTCTAGTGCAATCCTGTTTGCCATTGTGCACTCTTTCCAAATTATTGCTGAGCATCGCTTCAGCAATTCAGCTGAACCACTGCCTCTACTTATTTGGCATGTTGCAGTACCATCGTCGGCTAACCCAAGAGGAAGCTTGAAGGTACTGTGAGCAGTTCTGCGGCCAGGAAGCAACGTCGCTGCAATACCAGACGATGCAACAGCTAAAACAATTTTGCAGTCTTTGCGCAGTTCGGCAAGGAGCAACTCGAGGACGAAAATTTTGCCAGTTCCACCAGGAGCATCCAAAAAGAGAACGTGATCACCATTACTGCGACCATGGACACTGCCAAAAATAGTGTTGATTGCGTGCAGTTAGTCGACCAGTAGCCTTGGTTTGTTCAGGGAAACGTATGCTGCCAGCTCGGTTGTAGCAAAACTCACGCTGCTGTTCAGTGGGGAGCTGATTTCCAACACTCCTGTCAAGCAGAGGGAATCCGTATGTATAAAGTTGCTCACTACCCATGCCAACAAAGATGTCGTCAATGGAAATTAGGGCCATGCTGAAGATGGCGGAATTAAATTCGATGTGAGCATCGCCATTTTGCAACTGCAGTTGATACCGGTAGTCTTCAGACATATCAATTCTGAACTTTAACTACAGGCCGCAAGGGCAGGTCAACTCACAACTCCTAATCAACAAAGCAAGGAGGCGCCGTAGTTGGTTTGGATTGTTATTAATAACAGCCTCAGCAATGGTATTCTCCCAATGATTATCATTTTCAAGTAAACCATGCATCATGCAGGCTTCTCTGTAAGCTACACACAAAGAACCATCCACCGTTCTGAGATCTTCAAAAGATGTTGGACCCCGAACCTCGTGAAGAAGCATTCGTAGGAAGCAAAACTCTTGTTTAGATATATGATTAATTTAAATCCGACCCAGTTTGAAATCGCATTTGATTCCTGAATGTCATTCAACCGCCATTCCTTTCTTTCGCCGGGCCCACGTGTGTTTTTTCCAAGTGTAGTAGGAGGGGACATCAACAAAAAAAGCGTCCGGGCAAAGATATACCTTGCTGGCACAATTTGAAGAAAGCAGTCAAGGTCGTGTCTCTGTGATTTTG